TAGTATTCCCATGGCCTCAGCTCTGTCCCCCTGCCACCCAGACTCCCCCATCCCCTCCAACCCCACCCCAGAGAGTGTGTTCCTTGAGCACATGAAGCCAGGTGGAAGGAAACAAACACCCAGTGAGCATCTTTTCCCTGCCAGACACTGCACCAGGCCCTTCAGAGATATCATCTCGGTATCGGCAAAATTCCCACTTTAGGGATGAGAAAACTGAGGCTCAGAGAGACAAATAACCTGCCAGAGCCAATAAGCGGCTGAGATTGGATTTGAAAACTCAGCTTTGCCAACCTCAAACCAATATTCTATACCTGGTTTAGAGTTATTTGACCAACCCAGGGGCAGAAGGCAGGTGAGGACCACTGGGTGCCTTCTGGCCTTGGCCCAAGCTTTCTCAGGTGACACGTTACACCCTGGGCCTGTTCCCTTGCTCAGCACCCCCCACCCCATGTTCCTGCCACGTTCCCAGCCTTGGCTCGGGTCTGCGTTTTCACCCGGCCCTGGCAGCCAGGATAAACACGGCCTGTCCAGCATCTGCTTGCACGCAGCCAGCAGAACCCACCTCCCCGCTGCCACGCCTGCAGCTCCAAACAATGATGGAGAAGGAAACCTCAGCCGGTGCCAGGAGAGACCGGGAGACGCAATTCCACGGAAAATACCCACCTGTGGGACAGGGAGGGGGCACTGTGCGGACTGAAAGGGCCTTTGTAGCGTTTTTATACCTGCTTTTATGTGTCCAGTCCTATGAGCCAGGCCTTGCCAAGGGGCCGAGAAAAGGGGCCCCCTTGGCAAATGTTCCGTATTAGGAAGGGGAGGTGCTTCGCGAAGGTTTTAAATCGTGTCTGGCCTCTGCGGACTTGCTCTCCTGGATACCTTGGTGCCCAAGCGTCCCGTCCCCACGGGGACCTTTCCACCCGCCTGAAGCTGGTTTCCCCTGTCCGTTCCCCCTGGCTGGGCAAGACACCCGGGTTGGCCATCGCATCAGCTCACGTTCTCTGGGCAGTCTGTCTCCACGAAGACCCTCCAGGGCAGCCGATCTTAAAATTCGTGGAACACTATTTTCCACTAGACCAGGAGGTTTTCTAAATCCAGCCCCCTCAGTTCAACGCTGCCGGCTTGTTCCGCTCAGGGAAACGTAGCCAATGGTGAAATAAAGCCACGTACATGTGTTCATGTGTGTCCGCACGTGCATGCGTGCGTGTGCGTGTGTCCATCGCACCAAATTATCGGTATTAAGATCCTGCACCACAGCTGCAGGAAGGGGGAGGGGGCAGCAGGTGGTGGGCGCTGACCTGCTGGGATTTGGCTCCTGTGACTGCAGTCCCCTGGGAGGAAAGGGACCCCTTGGGAGGTCCCTGAGCTTGGTGCTCACGGCAGCAGGGCCCCCAGGCGTCACTGTCTACCTATCGTTGACTAGTAGCATCTTACCATTCCATCCCTGGCCTGAGCACTTCTCACTGTTCTCCCCACAGCCATCTGGGTTCTGAGACTCTGTCCCGGACCCAGAAGCCCGAGCAGGCCTGCAGGACTGACCTCCGCACTTCTCCAACCTCAATGAGCAAACGAGCACCCGGGGATCTTGTGCAGTAAAATCAGAGTCTGATTCAGGAGGGCCAGGTGGGGCCTGGGAGTCTGCATCTCTAACACGTGACGCTGCTGCTGCTGCTGCTGCAGGGACCACATGGAGCGTGAAGGCTGCGCTGCACTGGGAGAGCTGAGTCACGGAACACGTTAGTTCTCCAGGCTGCCGTGCACCTCTTCCCTTGGCCCATAAAGGCTCCTTTCAGGCTTTCAGGCGCAGGCCTGGGATGTGAAATTTCAAACTTCGCCCTGGAGTTAAATTCCAGGAGGGGGTACCAACAGCAAAGCATAAAGGATGGGGGAGGGAAGGGAGGACGTGTCCCACACTGGTCTCACTGAAGCCAGGCCACAGGGACAATCATGCACCCCAGCCCAGGGCACAGTGCCTGCTCACCCCCATCTTCCAAGGACCTGGTGGGAGGGTGGTAGAGGAGGTGACAGTTCCCCTCTGGGCAGCTGATGCTGGGAGAGGGCTCACAGCAATGCCAGGTCCTCAAAACCCACATCCTGTAGGTGGAACAGGTAGAAAAAGGCCACAGGCCTCCTCGGGCCAGCTTCTGGGGCTGCCAATCCCTTTTGGGATTGCCCAGTGCATTCTTTTTCCCTCTGATTTCACCCCTAACCTGTTGAAGAGCACACTGTGTGGCCTGGTTCCTCCTGCATAAAATGGGCACAATGACACCCACCTCCTCCTTGGGCCGTTAAGGAAATTAAACTCGAATATGTGTAAAGGGCCCTACACACTAGAGGTCTGGCTTCTCAACCTCCTCCCCACCCACCCTTGGGCCACCATCCTAAACACACCCAAGGGAGTAGTAAGAGGGACCTAGTGGTCACCTAGCTGGTCTGGCGTCGTCTAACCGGGGTGAGAGCTGGTTGGGGTGGACATGCGTCTCTGTATAGGAGTTGCTCAATATCTTTGTTTCCCCACACCTAAAACATTGCCGGGGGCGGGGGTCGGGGGATCTTAACAAGTCCTTTCAGACTTTGGGTGTTAACCCTGCACGGGGAGAAAGGGCTGGAAGAAAAGTATAGCCAGTTAGCAGGAACGTGGCTGAGGCTGGGGCAGCTCGGAGGCACAGTGTCCCGCCTGGGCCGCTAGGCGGCTCCGAGGCTAACAGATGAGCACAGGCTGCGTCTGCACCGCGGTTCTGTCCTCAGACTTTCCCAGTCTTCACAGGCCTGGCTGACACCAACACCAGGCGCTGCTGGGCGGGCAGGGCCTCTCGCCCCCGGGCTGGGATTTCTTTCCCATTTTCACAGATGCCGAAGAGGGGAAGAGGCGGTCACCATGATGGAGTCCTGCCCTGGGAGGTGCACGAAGGCAGTGGTCTGCCCGTCAGCCACACTTCTGGAGGGTGGGAAGAGGCTTCAGGGAGTCCCTGCTCTGCAGTCCTTGGCCCAACAGCCTCCTCCACCTCTCTCCTCCCGTCCTGCCAGAGTGGGGTGGGGTGGGAAGAAGTCCGGATTTGGATTCCTCCCTCCTGCGCTTCCTGGCTGGGCAACCTGGAAAATGGGATAATAATACCCCCACCGCAAGGTCGGCGAGAGGACTCCGCGTCCACACGCAGGCCCTGGATGTAGATGGAGGACACTTTCTCTTCCTCACCCCTCCCTGCCTCTCTCTCCCAGCGGCTTAGCCAATTCACTGTGAAGAAAGACCCTCCCCTGCAGAACTTCTCCCCAGAACTAGAGGGTCTTTGCAGGCGAAGAGGTGATTTCCAGCCACACCTCACCAAATCAGCATTGCTCAAAGTGACTTTCTCACCCGGGCAGAGCATTAAAAATACCGATCCCAGCGCACCCAGCCCTGCTGAATCAGAAATTTCTGGGGGTGAGGCCCTGGAGTCCCCGTCTGAACAAGTCGCCTGCTGGAAACGACTGCCCCAGATTACAGGGCAGCTCCCTGGCTCCCTGTCGATCCTCTGGCCTGGGGATGTTCAGGGGCGGAGGCAAGTCCCATCAGCACTTTGAACTGGGGCTGCTTCTTAGTGACTCACCTCCCAGACTTCCTGCAACAGACAACTCTAAGTAGCTGGGTCCCACCCTCCAGTAGGGGAGACGTTTCTGCTGGGGAGGGCAGGAGGTCACAAGGTGGGCACCCCACCAGGGCAGGTCAGGGAGACCCAAAGAGAGAAGACGCTGCCTGCACGGCACAGGGGCACAGGTACAGGACGTTTTGTTTACAGGCTTTTGTTATTAAGGAAATTGCTGTCAGTCAAGGTAATTCTAGCCCAGATGAGCAATAAATATGCTCCCAGCTAATCTTACGGGGATTTTATTGGCACCTGGGGCAGAGGTTCCTTTACTCTGCCCACTCCCTCCCCTCAAAACAAAACCCTGCTCCCCAGCGGTGCTCCCCAGCGATGTGGGGGACTTGGGTCAGCCCTAGGAAGTGCACTCTAAGTGAAGATAGAAAACGTCCGGGCAAAGCTGGGGGGTGGCCTCCTGGTCCTACCTGGAGGCGGAGGATGACCAAAAGACTGAAAGAAAGCCCTGGGGGACCAGGTTGGATCGAGGCATGCGCGAGCTCCCCTGGGCCTGCCCCGCACGCAGGGGTGGTCACCTGGCCCGCGGGCGGCCGGGGCAAGGAGAAAAGTCTCGGGGAGGCAGCCGGCTCGCAGGAGTCGGTTCCAGCGTGTTCGAGTTCCAGCTGCGAGCCCTCAGGGACACCGGCGGCAAGTCCCGGCTTGCAGAGAGGGGAGCCAGTCCCGGGAGAGCGCAAGTCGCAGCGAGCCCGTGTGCGCGCTTATGCGCGCGCCCCGCGACGGCGCAGGGGGAGGGGAGGCCGCAGCAGCCACTCAGAGGAACCGTAGTGAAGCCTCCCAACAACTTTGACTGTCAATCAGACTTAATGGGGTATTAAAAAAAAAAAATGGGGGAAAAAGGGCCGCCTTCTCGCACAACGCCGCGACTGCCCGGGGAGCGAATGAATAAGGCCGCGCAGACCAGGGCGTCCGATCCACGCGCGCTCCGCACCCGGGCCCTCTCCAAGTTGCAAAGGACAAAAAGAAGGCAATAAATGCTAAAAAGGGAGAGAGAGGGAGCCGGATCGAGCGGCAACTCCCAGCGTCTGCTGGAGCAGAGAGGGAGGGAGCGAGCCGAGAGAGCGAGCGCGCGCGAGGGCGAGCCCTGCACGTAAAGAAACTGACACCCGGACCCCCCACTTCTCCTGCACGTTGCTGGCAATCAGATCGCGTTTAAGCAATTTCCTGAGCCCAAGAATAGCAATGAGTCGGGAGACTTTCGCGGGCTGAAATTGGGAGCTCCATGCCCTCCCCCCGCCCCACCACCACCACTTTTTTTTTCCTGGAGGAGGGGTGGGGGCGCGCTACAATTTGGAAACGGCTTTTTTTTTTTTTTTTAATCTTGCACTTTGAAACCGCGGGACTGTAGCAGGGTGCGCGCGTGCGGTTGGTGCCTTTTTTTTTTCTTCCCTGCCTAAACTCCTCTGTCAGTCTGTAAACATTACCTGAGAATTCCCCAGCCGAAACGGCTGCTGGGGCAAGAAACTTCTTGTTAGAACTTTCCACCTCCGGCTTCGCCTCCACCTCCCGTACCGTCCCAACCTTCTGAGACGCTTTTTCTCCTCCAGAGGAGGATTCATCTTTTTTTTTTCCCCCCCACCCTGTGCTTTGCATTTGGGAAGAGGTGATTTCAAGAGTGGCCAGGTGGGACGCCTCTCTCCTCCTTATTCGGTTTATTTATTGTTGTTTGTGGTGTTTTCTTTTTTTTAAATCCTGTTTTGTTCGGTCCGGGGAGTTTCGCCCCCTGCCCGGCTCCGCGGCGCGGAGGATGGTGTGGAAATGGCTGGGCGCCTTGGTGGTGTTCCCTCTGCAGATGATCTATCTGGTGGCGAAAGCAGCCGTCGGACTGGTGCTGCCCGCCAAGCTGCGGGACCTGTCGCGGGAGAACGTCCTCATCACCGGCGGCGGGAGAGGAATCGGCCGACAGCTCGCCCGCGAGTTCGCAGAGCGCGGCGCCAGAAAGGTACGCGGCACCGCGGCTGCCCGAGGTGGGGCCCGGGGGCGGGGGTGCGCCCACCTGCCGCCGCTGCGGGGTCGCGCGCCCGGGCGCGGAGGGTCGCCAGCCACCCCCCTGCCGCGCGCCACCCGCGAGTGCTGAGCTAGTCGGTTTCACCTTGTAAATTTCCCGGGCACCCGGCTGTCGTTTTTGGCAGGTCCAGAGCTGATTCGCTCCTTTGGGATCGGTGGCTGGCTGGCTATTCGCCCCCACCCCGAAACTTAGGAGACCCACCCAGTTGCCACATTCCTCCCTCCCGAAGGAAGGAGTTGTGTCCCCCCGCGACCCGCCCCGCCGTCGCCTTCCCCTTTTTGCCGCCACCCTGGAGTGCAGGGTGTGTGCGCTCCTCGCTGGAGCTGGGAGCCGCCTGCTCGCTGGCGCTTCGTATTTTCCTTGGCAACCCGCTTCCCAGCCCCAACCTGGGCGGCTGCAGCTCTGAAGACACGTTGAGAAGGGGTACTCGGTTCGGGTTTGAAAGAAGGTGGGGAGCGGTCTTGGATGGTGTAGCCTGGCCCGACAGGCACTCAGAGGCCCAGGTGTTTGGAAATCAGTAAAGAGGAGGTCGGGGGTAACCAGCAACAGATAAAGAGCCCTTGTTCTCACCTTCAACCCTGCCCCTCCCCCAATACAGCCCCGGAGGGGATCCCTCCCCAGTAAGTTGGGAGGTGGCGCTGTAGGGAGGGTCCTCCCCACCGGACACTGCTTTTAACTTTTTGGTGGTCCCAGCACCCCTTGCTCCAGGTTTTGGAGACCTGGTGCTGCAGAGTCGGGAGGGTGAGCCGGCTGTCACCCAACTCCCAGCTCAGGCCAGGCTGACTCACCCAGTGACCAGAGCCCTCCGGAGAGGGAAGCAGGCCGGGCTGTCTCCAGCCCGCTCAGTGAAAAGGAAGAGCGAAAACAGGGAATTAGTTTGAAACTTAAACTGTTGTGAACCAGGGGGGCGAAAGGGCCGGCGAAGCCAGCTGATCTGACATGGAGCCACATACCTCGGGGATTAAGTAAATATGTACTGTAGAAAACCAAACCTGCATGTAATTCCAGGTTGCTTTTGTTTTGTTAAATACTGCCCTGAGATTTACAATTCCTCCGGGTGGCTCTGACTGGGACTGAACTTTGGAGCCTAAACTATCAGCCAAAGCTGATCCGATTAACTCTTCCCTGGCCGGGCTGGCAGGGGCCTGCCACGGCCAGGCTGGTGGGGGTCGGGCTGTCCAGGACTCCCTCTTCTCCTTGGGTGGTTTGGACAGCTGCTTGACCTTGCAGTTGGAAGGGGAGTTCGGAAGTGTTTTTAACCCTTGGACACGCGGAGAAAGGGGAAGTGAGAGCTGTTCTCGGCAGTTTCATTTTCTCAAGGTGCTGGGCTCCCAAAGCCCTTCGTGGAGGGGCACCGGGAGGGCAGATGAGGGTGTCCTTGGGGAGAGAATGTGGGTTTGGGACAACTGTGTGTGATTGTTATTCCTTAGCTGTCTGCATCCCACAGAGACTTTCTTCTGCATCTTCCAGCTGGCCCACGTCCTGGGTCTCTTTCACTGCTCTGTGGCTGACAGCAGTAGGCAGATGAGGAACTCTTAGTCAATCTGGAAAAACTTGACTGACTATAAACAACCCTAAATTGGAAGAAGTAGTTGGCCTTGGGGGGGTGGGTATGATAGTGCCCGAGTGGAACCCGCAAGCCCGTGCGCTGGGAATCGCAGCCCCTCCGAACTCGGGATGGACTCCTCTTCCAGGGAGTAAACCCAAGGCTGATTAGAAATGTCTTAAATTGGTGTCAGGGCCCCCGAAAACAGGATCCATGGGGGCCTGTGAAACTTCCAGTGCCGTTCACGCTAGGTCCCGTCATCGGACCAAGTCAGGATGACCAGAAGTGCTCCCTGTCACTCATCATTATCTGTCCAATTACTGGAGCCGCTTTTTAATGAGACTTCTGCTTGCTGTCACGGTGGGGAATTTGGAATCGTGGCTTCTTGCCTGAGTCTGGCTGAGGCCAGTGAGTGGACTTGGGACACCCTCCCTCCCCGCCAGCCAAGAGTGTTTTGGGGCCCAGGGGGCTTGGGGACAAAGAGCCGAGTGCTGTGGGTGTGGGGAATTTACTACTGGGAGTGTGTTGGGGACAGGCGTGAACCCGTGGGCTTGGGGGTGGTCCAGGAGCATCAGAGAGAGCTGGAGAGTGCTGGTGCCCCCCCTTAGACAGGCGGCAGTGTGGAACCCCAGATGCCTCCTGTCTCCCCTTGGTGGAGCAGAGGCTGCATCTGAGAGCCTTCAAGCCTGATTCCGGTGGGATTGGATCTGAGGGGGAATGATTCCCAACAGAGGGGAAAATCAGTATCACATGAGAGTCTTTACAAACCGCTGACATGTCTCAGAGATATTATAGCTGTTTAATTTTTGGGGTGCAGTTGACAACCCAGTTGTTTCCCTTAATGACCTTGAGTTCAATGAGATTTGGCAATATTTGTGGGTGGTAGTGAGCCTTAGGCTGCACAGGTGGCTCAAATAAAGGTTTTTATTTGAGGGACACAAAGACCAGGGGTTCAGAATTTCCTAATCAGGAGACATCCCACCTTACCCACAGTGCACCGAGGTTGGTTGATGGAGGCAGGGCCTATCCTGGCGAGGGTCTCCAGGGGTAAGGCTCCTGCTGGGTCATCCCCCACCACACTCCTTTTTTACTTCCTGTGCCCTCCCGGAATTCCTCCTATGAAAGCACTCACAAAGCTCAGGCCCAGTCCTCTGCCCCGCAAGGGAATTAATTGACTAGTAGTGAGCTCAGTCTCCAAAATCTTGTGCGTTTGTTGTGGTTTTAGCAGGAGCACGTAGGAGAAGTGGACTGTTTGGAATTGCAGTGGCTGTTCCAGGCTTTGGTTCAGTATCGGGCTTGTGGCCGGACGAGAGCCCTGAGCCACGGTTGCAGGCCGGGGGAGGCAGGGCCAAGGTACATCAGCCCAGTCCCCTCGTCGGGACTCAAGGACTGATTTCAGGGAGGTAGAATGTGAGCTAGCTCGGAGTTGGATCTGCCTTGCTATTAGGGAGTTTACAGTATGTGGGTATATACCCTGTTCCTAAAGCAACTAGCCAGGAACTAGGCCTGCAGGTAGGTTTGTGAATCCTGTCTTCCATCACGTCCATCCCACAAGTCCTGTATCCTTCCCATCCCTAGCACGGGGGACGGCCTGGGCCCATCATTCATTCCCTTGTCAGCCATCCCTGAGAGACCTCGTTCAGCAAACCCACCTGTGGTTTCTAAGTGTTTGGCGCAGCTCCGGGCCATGGGAGAAAGTAGCAAAGATGAATAAAGGTCCAGAGACATGGCCAGGTGCTTACCGTGAAGGTACAAATGGCCGTGTATATTATATTAGCTTCCTATGGTTGCTGTACCAAATGACCACAAACCTGGTGGCTTCCAATAACAGAAATGTATCCTCTCACAGTTCTGGGGGCTGGAAGTCTGACATCAGGTGTTGGCGGGGTCGTTCTCCCTCTGAAGACTCTGGGGAGGATCCTTCCAGAGTCTTCCGGCTCCTGGTGGCTCCTGGCATTCCTTGGCTTGTGGCAACATCACTCCAATCTCTGCCTCTGTCTTCACAGGGCCTTTTCTGTGTGTCCCTCTGTGTCCCCTCCTCTTCTTATAAGGACACTAGTCATTGGATTTAGGGCACACACTAAATCCAGGGTGATCGCATCTTCAGATCCTTAACTAATCACATCTCCAAAGACCCCATTTCTCCATAAGGACACGTTCCGAAGTTCCTGATAGACGTGAGTTTGGGGGAGACATTACATAGTGGAGCCACAGAGGAGCAGTTCAGTTAGAACAAGGGCTTGTGGAAGGTTTCATGAAGGAAGTGGCATTTGAGTGAGCCTTGCAGAAGGTCAAGAGTTTCAGCCAGAAGGGACACAAGACGGGCAATCCAGGAACCACCTGATCAAAGGCTAAACCCAGCTGGAATTGCGGAGGGAGGCCAAGAGGGAAGCAAGACAATATTGGATAATGGGAGGGATCGGTAGGCGGGGAGTTCACATCTTGGACTCCAGGTTGGGTCAGTCCCGGTGAGAACAGGAAAAGGGAGAAAGAGAGGAGAGGGGTCCAGACAGGTCATCTGTGGGACCCAGAATCATCAGGCCAAAATAGCTGCATAAACAACTGACGTGGGAGAGAGCACTGCTCTCCCAGTGCCAGATCCTCCATCCTCACCTGCGTGCAGCCTGGAAGCAGGAAGGTGGGCCACCTGCCCTGCCTGTGGCGTCCAGGAGACGTCTTTCAGCTTGGAGCTTCCGGTCCTTGAGTTTCAAACAATGCACCTTACAATTCGAGCTGTCTCAAGAATAAACAAACAGCTCCCTCTTACTCCCCGCTCCTTCCCTTGGGGAACAAAGGTGTCTACCTCTGGGACCACGCCTCCTGCTGCTGCCTCGCTCACCTGGGCAGAGGCCAGACACTGGGTTCTCGATCCTGGAAAAGTCGCCACCTTCTCCGGGTTGCAGCCAAGAAACACGTCTATCAAATGAGAAGGGACACGGTGATCTTTAAGATCCTGGCGTGGGTCCGTCGCCCCAGGAGAGAACGGACTGCCATGCTCCCTGGGCTGCAAGGAGACTTTCAAGGGAAAAAAATCATTTGTCCTCATCACTGATTATCTCAGCCTTTCTTGCTAGTCTTCAGGACCCCGCTGCATGAAAAAGGAGCAAATCAGCCTTGGAAACCGTGCTGCGCCCTCCCTCATAGGAGGCCCCACACCCATTCTAACCCCCTCAACAGCCACAGTGGCTTCATTTCATCTCTCGTAGATGTTGATGTTTTCAACCTGCAGCTTTCAAGGGAATAAGAAGCCAAGTTCCCTATCTAGCACATAAAGCAAAATTTCCTGTTTTTTACCCTCAAATTGCCAAACTGAATGCTCCCTGCATCTAGTAATGGTGAATCTGAGTCGACAAGGCCATTCTTGGTCTACCCAGCCCTTCTGCTAATT